ATTATTTTAAAATAAAAAATAATTAATCTAGGTTCAAAATAATTAAATTAAATTAAATTGGTATTTTAAAAAATATTTAAAATTTTATGTCACTTCAACCATTTATTATGCAACCATAATGATATGCCCAACCAGTGCCCTCGCAAGTTGGGATGAGTTCACTCTTTTAGGGATAGGGTGCTCACTGCTCAGTGCTGCCACTCAATCCCTCACGTGGTGGACTAGTCTTCGGTATTATTATCTGTTATACCGACTACTGACTCTAGACGGAGGCCCATTACCGCTCCTGTAGATATGGGCATCTTGTTGCCAATCCCAAGTCTTTAATAAGTTAAAAAGAAACAAAGAAACTAAAACATAAATAAAGAACTTCCGTTTTCTTTCTTTCCCTCATTTTTTAAAAATTAAATAAGAGAATTGTCTCCTCTGCACTTAATTCTAATCATATGATAATGTTAAGAACATAAATTTTTTAAATAACTACTTTGGGACATCTAGATCAAATCCTAGCCTTGATTTATGAAATTTATATTTTAGAAAATCTAAAAATTTACTTGGTTCCTAATATAGTGTTCAAAGATCCTCACCACCATCCGGACTAAGTAGCTGCATCCAATCCGGGTCATCAGCCTCAATAGCTTCATCCATCCTCTGATCATTTGCATCATCCTCCTGTTCCACATTATTAGCCCTGGTGTTTGTAGCCTCAAATTGAGGACTATTGGAGGCTATGTTGGCAGCATCTCCTAGGGGGGAAGAATTGTTGGACACACATGCCATAACATTCTCCAACTAGTTGTGGTACCAAGGCTCACATGCCAGAGAATTCTCCAACAACTCGTAGTACAAAACAAAGGAGAGTGGCACAACCACTAGTGGATTATCAGATTGAATGGCAACGTTGTCATCGATGGGATGTCCCTAACCTATCAAAGTCAGACCTTCATTGAACTGGTTTTGGAGAGAAGGACAGTGCTGAATAATGTCCAATAGAGGCAAGTCCGGAAACTCTGACCCGGGTTGCATGAACTGCAGCAGCTCCTTCGCCAAATTAAAATCAAGGGTCACAGCATCGAGCATCTGTAAATCAAATGCATCCTTGGAAGTCTTACCCTTCTCTGCCAATTCAGCCTTGAGCTTGCCAAACCCCTCCTCCAGCTCTTTCACTTGTTTGTTCGAGTTGTCAAATTCTTTCTTCTTTTCCTTGAATTTGCGATTAGCATCAATAAAAGCAATTGCAGCTTCCTGCTGTCTTCTTTTAGCATCTTTGAGCTTCTTCACATATTGCTAATGAAGTTGAAAAATAATCAATTAAAGAGAAAAGAAATAATTCAATGTAAAAGAGTAGAGATCCAAGAGGAGAGGGGCTTTAGTTTACTGACTACATACCTTCACAAGATTGCACTTGCTAACTCCAAGCCCATGATGAGGTGGAGGCCTCCCTATCATGAGTAGCTTCCCTCATTTGTATTTGTGTACCTTTGTTGGTTGACAATAGAGTTCCTTGAAGAGCAAGTGTGCCCACTGATTGAACATAGTTTTGGCGAGCATCAGCCATAAGCCCACCAATTGGGGGACGACTTGGAGTAGCGTAAGCAGTAGCAACCCTCTTGCCCCAACAGGCTCCATCAAGTTTTTCCTCTCTTTTTCTCTTTAACTCCCTCACTCGCTCAAATGGGGTTCCCATTATTAAGGGAAATAAATCTTCTCCTTGATTTCTAGATTCTGCAGTTGTAATTGTGTATATTTTATATATATATATTGTTTCCTAATTAGATTAGATTTAGCAGTTGTTGTTGAGTGGGAAAATTTCACATCGAATATAAAAGTAAGAAACTTGTGGGTTAAATACAAGGAAGGCTACTCCACTTATTGCCAATTGGTTTTAAGTTAGATGCAAACCTTGTGTTGAGCCCACATGCACAATTTTCACATGATATTAGAGCCTAGGTTCTGCCCTGGGAAGTCCATTGTTAGCCCACCTGACAAGACCCGAAGTTGATATTGGGCTTGTATGTAAGGGGGTATGTTAAGCCACGTAACAGGACCTGACATTCATAGCAAGTTTGCACATGAGGGGGTGTGTTAAGTGGGAAAATCCCACAACGAGTACAAAAGAAAGAAGTTTATGGATTAAATACAAGGAAGGCTACTCCACCTATTGCCAATTGGTTTTAAGTTGGATGCAAGCATTATGTTGAGCTCATATACACAATTTAACATACTATCAAAGCCCAGATTCTGTCTTGGGAAGCCCATTGTTAGCCCACCTGACAGGACTTGATGTTAAAGATATCGGGCTTGCATGTAAGGGGGCGTGTTAAAGCCACGTGACAAGACCCGACATTCATAGCGAGTCTGCATGTGAGGGGGTGTGTTGAGTGGGAAAATCCTACATTGAGTATCAAAGTAAGAAACTTGTGGGTTAAATACAAGGAAGACTACTCCACTTATTGCTAATTGGTTTTAGGTTGGATGCAAACCTTGCGTTGAACCCACATATACAATTTTCATAGTTGTATTCCTCTATAAATTGTAATGTTCTTGTTCAGTATTATTAATCAATGAAGAAGTCTTTCTTTGATTTAAGCCTTCACAACCTATTAGTGGTATTAGAGCCAACCTTCTCTCACGAGACTTTCACTTCCATGGCCAACCGTGATGAAACTCCAAACTCTGCCGCCTCCAAACACTCCGCCGTGACCATCCTTGAGCCTAACGTCACCCGCAACCCACTGTCCTTCAACTCAGTGGCTTTTCTTGTCAAACTAACTCCCAACAGTATCGTGGACGAGGTGGACTTTGCTTCCTCTTCAAACCGCTTTCTTGATGGCTACTTACTGGACTCAAGCGCAAGCAATCATGTGACTAATGACTTGGCAAATCTTGCACTTCATTCTAAATACAATGGTCTTGATGAACTTCAAATTGGTGATGGAACAGGTTTGAAAATCACCCATGTGAGTCAATCCACACTTCCCACACCCACTTCTTCACTACCTCTTCGTAATGTTTTATGTGTCCCTTCTGCTTCTCGTAATTTAATTTCTATCTCACAATTATGTAAGAGTGCCAATGTCTATATTGAATTTCACTCTGATTATTTTTTGGTGAAGGACTCTTGCACGAGGAAGACACTTCTTCAAGGACCAAACATTCATAGGACCTATCAAATTCAAGGAAGAATTAGTCCTCCACCAAGGGCATTTTTAGGAGAACGCACCAGCATGGTGAATTGGCACTCTCGTCTAGGTAATCCTTCGACGAAGACCCTAAAACATATTGTTACTCCTTTTAATCTTCCATTATCTAATAGAACGAGTTTTTCTTTGTGTGCTTCTTGCTCATGTTCTAAGAGCCATAAATTGCCTTTCTCAAATTCATCTCTTTCTAGTACTTCACCTCTTGAACATGTATTTTCAGATGTATGGGGTCTTGCTCCTCTCCCCTCCAGTGATAGTTTTTGTTATTTTGTTTTGTTCATTGACCACTTTAGTCGGTATATTTGGCTTTACCCACTCCAATACAAGTTTGATGTGTTTATGGTTTTTCAAAACTTCAAACTACTAGTTGAAACTCAATTTCATCGAAAAATTAAAAATCTCCATACGGATGGCGGGGGTGAATATGTGACACTTCTCAAGTTTTTATCCCAACATGGAATCTCACATTTTACTACTCCACCTTATACTCCTGAGCTCAATGGCATTAGCAAGCGTCGAAATTGACATATAAACAAAACTGGTCTTACACTTTTGCACAAAGCGTCTCTCCCCACCAAGTTTTGGTCTTTTGCTTTCAAATAGCCGTCTACCTTATTAATCAGCTTCCTTAAATGGCCATTTCAAATAAAACTCCTTTTGAAAAATTGTTCCGCCTCAAGCCAAATTATCACAAATTTCGTGTTTTTGGTTGTCTTTGTTTTCCATTAGACCTGGCAAACGGGCGGGTTGGGTCAGATTAAGGTCGGGTCAGAACGGGTAACGGGTCAAAACGGGTTGGGTTAAAATGGGTCACGGGTCAATGAAAGCAGACCCTAACCTGCCCATCACGGGTCACGGGTCAACCCGCGGGTTGATCCAATTAATTTTTTTTTTCTTTTTTTCTCTGTAATCTGTACCTATTACAATTTAAATTATTTTGGATGGTTGATTGGTTTCACAATCCAAAAATTAACATTCAAATACCAAATTTCATATAAACTAGTTAAGTAAGCATAAGTAGAATAGAGATCGCATCTCAAGAAATAACCAACAATAGCTTTTAAAATTCCATTGTTTGTATTCTTTCGGCATAACATAAAACTTGAAAAGAAAAGAAAAATGAACAATGACTTCTTTCCTTAATGCATGCTTCTATCATTGATCTAAAAGTTAACAATATCAATTTGCAAATTTTATAGTGCCATAACAGTGCAAAGAAGGCTGCCAAGTACAAATCCCACTTTAGGAAGTAGGAACAAAAAAGAAGAGAAAATTCACAAAATTCA